TCCTGATGGTTAAGAAAGCCCCAGATTTCTTAATTTAAGGCAGCGTCTACCTGTAACCCACTCACTCACTAATGGCTACAGTTCCGCCAAACCCATTCTGTACTGAAATATGGGATAATGTTTTAAGTAGAAAAAGTTGATTAAAAGCATATGAACACTGATTATTAATATAAAAAAGGGGATCTGTATGCACATTGACAACAGTTTAACAGTATTTAAAATGGCAGTTGAAAAATTCAAATTTTGTCTTCCTTTAGAACTTGCTTGACAACACCATCAGAATGATTCTTGGGCTAATCCAAAAGTTGAGTTTCTGACATACATGCAGGACAGACTGGATTTTGTACACTCAGTGGAAATTTCGAGAGGCTCATGCTACAGTTTAGTTTTGTAGGACTGGCCTTTTGAGTACTGCATGGCTTGAATCTTCAAAGAAGTTCTTGAGAATAAAATGAGGGTAATTCACATTTTAAGTGCAGGCCACGCAGCACAATTTGGCGAGATAAATCTGTGAGAAATTTCCAAATATGAATCACACATGCAGGAAAGAACCTGGCCCACAGACTTCCTCTAATTAAATGCCTGTCTAATAAAATCTCGTCAATGGCATACAGATGACTATTAAAGGAGCTGAAGCAATTCACTTCAAGTTCTGGAACTCATTAAATGCATTTCTTCATGCTAAAAGAATTTCTTGCATCTTTATTTTGCCCTTAACAAGCAGCAGCAAAAAGCCACCACAAAGGGGTCTACAATTTACATACTTTAAAATAATATCCAACAAAAGATATTAATGCAAGGAGGCCCTGGAGTAGCTGAGAGTGGCTTTGAGATTTGAGTTTACATAGGGTTTGTCCTGCAGACGTGGCCTTAAGATATTGGCTGGTATTTGAAAGCTAGAGGCCTGGCTTCCTTGCTGAGTCGAAAGACCACTAGCTATGGTCTTGGAAAACGCTTTGGCAATCTGATGAATTCACAAGTCTCTAATCTCTGCTCCCTAGCCTTCACACCCACCCCATGTCTGACCTTTGGCTCTTAGTTCAACTTTATGCACATGTATGCTCCTCTTAAGCCACGCAGTGAGACTGCAGGCCTGGAAAGACTTGGGGATGGGAGTCTCCCAGAAGTTAGAGGGCAGGGAGGGTGCGATGGCAGAATTGGTTGGTTCTCCCTGAGCTCTGCGCCGTGACAGTGGGTAGACCACATCATCTCGGCAAACCTGCTCCGCCAGGCTCCAGGAATGCATAACTGTGCTTTTCCACCAATGTTATGGAATCTTTTTTAGTGTAGGACAAGCCCCGCTAGAGGTGAGTAGTCAATATTCTCAGCACATCAGCACATGTGGTCTTTGAACTAACTATACCTCTTCTCTTTTAAGCACCAATAATCGCCCCAGGATTGTTGCCTTCATAAATACTGGCCAAGAAGCAGAGCTGGTACAGAACCAATGAGAGGAAAACTCTACAAGCAACCCCTAAAAGCAGAAAATCTTGCCAATACAGAGCTGAGTACACCACCATTGATCAACTGCTTTTAAAACACTTTAGATAAAATCACTTCTGTAGGAAAAAGCTAAACGAAATAACTACTGGAGCATGATTTGCTTTGGAGGTTTATATCTGATGACTCGTATTACATGCTGGGTAAGTTAATATCTATTGCTCATTCATATGTCATTACCAGACTGCTATATAATTAGAGGTAAAAAGAAAATTCATTTTAACAAACCACCTTCACAAATAAAGCACAGGATTCCAAACTTGACTCTGCTTAACTCACATTTGACTAAACTTCCATACAGCAAATGGACACCTTTTGCTAAGTCCAAACAGAATATGTAAAAATGTGTTATAACTGCAGAAGCCCACAGTATAAAAGTAGTGGTTCTCTGCCCACTGATTATGGCCTGTAATTGTCTAGGTAAGGTCTATACAATCTCTAATGGCCACATCTGATTTTAATTATTAATCTATACAAGACTCTCCAAAATTAAAATATTGAATCAAAAAGATCCTATTGCACCAAGATATCACATAGACTAAAAAGGTGAAGTCTAGAGACCAAGGATATAATTTCATCTCTGTCATGCAGTATCTGTATTACCATGAAAAGTCACTTAACTTCATCTGAACAAGTTTTCTCATCCATAAGATGAAGGTCTCCCTGGATAATCTCTAAGGTCCCTTCCAGTTTTAAACTTCTGTGATTCTGTTAAATATATAAATCTAAATCAAGATGTAAACAGACTACTTCAATGAACAACTCTCAAACTATCCAATATTCAGTTTGATTCAATCATGCGCTGACTCAAATGATTAGGAAAATAAAACAAGTTTGTATAAAAATGGATTAAGTGTTCAGAATCTTTAAAATCAACTTCTTGACATTCATGTGGACAGATAATCATTTGTGAACCACAAGATGAGTCAATACTTCTATATTTTATATACTGCTGCCAAATTCTACTCAGTGTCCTAAACATGGTTAGTTGCTCCCTTGTGGAATGTCACATGATGAGTGCAGTAAGGCCACTGGCATGGCAACACATCAGGGGTGTGTCATCATTACAACTCTTTTCAATAACTTTATAGTTACTTAGGATCTAAAAATTTTATTCTATAATTTATCTTTAAAAAAAAGGTACCTAAATCTATAAAGTACAAACGACAAGCATTAAGAAAAAGCATTCATTTGTGATGCTTTTCTTATTCTGCAAACAAGCCAAAAATTTAGCAAACACTTTCACCATATTCCACTAGATTCCAGAAGGCAGTGAGGTCTGGTTGGGAAGTGACCCCGGGCTGCCCAGTAGAACAGTCTGGGGAGCCCAGCCGGCACTCACAACCAATTAGATCAAAATCCCTAAGGTCAGGGCCCAAGCAGCACTAATTTTTCAAATGTCTCTAGTAATTCCATGGTGCAGCTAAGGCAGAGAAACAATGCAAGTTAAAACCAAGCTCTTTGATCTAAAATGCAGGAATGCTGAAAGGCACTGACATCAGTGGGCAAGATGTAAAAAGAAGTCAAACCTCCCACTACTTACAACTTTGTTTTTTCTGCTCAGAGAAACATCCAAGTGTCACTGTTCCCAAGAGTGTGCACGGTAAGAATGTGCGTGGAAACCAACCAAGAGCAATGACACCAGAGAACGGTCCTTCCTTACTGTGTGTGAATTCAAAAGCAGACATTTACTTTGCTGATCCACCGGTGACAATAGTGCCTATTGTGAGCTAGCACTTTTCCCTGCATCCCCACTCAACAGCTCTTATGTATTTCACCAGGAGATTCAGAGAGGCAGAACTATGACTTCTTAAAACATAACTAACAATGTGATCCACCAATGCAAACCCAAGCCAAATCAGCAATCCCAAGGAAATTATAATTCATGAAGATTTGACGACCTTTCTAACATTTCATAAAAGGTCTGGCAGGTAGCAATAACCCCAAATTCTTCCCGTTAAAATATTCATTATTCTTGACTAAGATTTCACCAACACAATCTCAACTAGCCATCAACTTACATTTGGCCTTGAATTTTATCAGTTTCTCTTTATGAGGCACAGAGAAGCAATCCTCCTTTTAAAGAAGGGGGAAAGGAAAATCAACCCCTTTCCTGTGAGCTCAATGATATTTCAGTTCAAACACTCAACCAATAGGAGGGTGATCTGCATGTATAATTGAACATACACAGAAAATTGCTACATACATATAACACACTATATACATGATCAGATTCATAATTCTTTCTTCCTAGCCTTCAACCAATCAAATTAACAAGCTCTTGGCAATTTGTCATTAGGACTTGCTGTTTGTCATGTCTACTTTTTCTACAAAGCCAGCCACTGGTGGGAAGTTTTGTTTTTCTTCCAGATACTACAAATCAGGCAAACCCTTTCCAAACAGGTGCCTGTCCAAAACTTCCTCTAATAAATGTTGACTAACAATGAATGAATCACTACAAGAGATCATCTCTCTTAAAACCCTGGACTTGTGACCCCAGGCTGCTCACAGCTGAAGGCTGGCCTACTGGCCTCCTCACTCGTCCTTCTCCTGCCCCTCACTCAAACGCAGGCCACGCAAGGACACCTGACTTCTCGGCAGCGAAGGGGAGCTCAGCGCGGCGGGGTTTCCAAACACGAGGGGCTGGCACCCGGGGCTCCCCATGTCAGAGTCTGAGTCACTGGACTCGGTCCCACTGCTGGTGGAGCCCTCGGTCATCTGCAGGGGAGCCAGGCGGTCTGCCACGCTACTGGCATATGCGCAGGGCAGGGCGGGGACCTTTGAGGGTGGGCCCCTGAGAGGGGCGCCGTTGGCTAGCATTCCACCTTCGGAAGCAGCCACTCCCTTTCCGTGGCCATCAGGCCTATCCATGGCCTCTGGGGTTGACGCCGCCACCTGGCTAAGGATGAGCGGATCTGTCTCGGACTTGTTGTACCTGCTGGGTAGATGCCGTAGGTATGGCCTTTGCAAGCCAGGGGAACAGCTTCCGTGAGGAAGACCCTGGCTTGGGAGAGTGTCTTCCCCTATGCTCCCTTCTCTAGGGTCGTGTCCGTTTTCGGAAACATAGCCCTGAGACCCGGTCCTGTCCCAACTCATATTTGGACTTGAACTTCTGCTGCTGGGAGACAGCGGGGTGGCCAGGGGGCTGTGGCCGGAGGAGCCCCTGAACATTTCGTCTATCAGAGAGCTATGTCGCGGCAGTCTGGGGCTCCCGCTCATATCAAAGGTTAGGTCTGCCGAATCATCATCAAGGAATTCTCTGGAAGGAGGCCGGGAGGACTTTGCAGAGGGAGGGGAAGCCCTACGCCTAGCCTCTGTTCGCCTCTCATCCCGGGAGAGCACGTAAACACCACTGGTCACATCACCCTCATAGTTGTCATTTGTTTGGCACCGAGACTGGGACGCTTGTTCTCTGAGGAGGTCGTATTCGCTATCTACGTCACTGCAGTCAATGAAAGGAATGGAAGTGCTGCTGCCTCTAGCAGCCCGCGATGCTGGACCTGTGCTCGGCTGCCGGGGCTGCGCTTTGCTCTGCTGGGTCCTGTCCTTGGCCGCCTCCTCCTCTTCCTCCGCCGCCGGCCCCTTGGCGGCCCCATCCGCCTGCGTGCTCCCCGCGCCGGGGCTCCTCTTCGGGGCAGGGCTGTGGCGGGGCCCCGGCTCGGAAGCGTTCAGTTCCTTCCCGTGCTGGCCGGCCTGGCCACCTGGGGATCCGGCACCTTCTCCGGACGTAAGGCTGGCGCTCTGCTGAGACTGGGGGCGGCGGGCGAGGGAGAGATGACGGGAGGGAACGGCAGACAAAAGGGGAGACTGTTACACCAGGGCTTTAGTAGCGCCTCCGTAAGCTGCAAGCGACTGAAAGGACCAGCTGCCTTGCCCTCCCTCCCTCCCTAGTGTCGGGACAGAGCACCGTGACACTAGCCGGCACACAAAGCAGCATATTTGGTCGCCCCCCAGAAGGTTCTTTCAGGGTGTGGACACCGATGACACTGATCCCGCCAGGGCGAGTTAGGCTCTGTCTCTGCTTTCTGGGACACACAGTCTCATACAGGGTTTCCAAAGTTTCTATGGAACCAAACGGCCCTCCCAGCCCACAAGGGGCTTCCCAGGGGGCGGCGGAAGGAAAACACGTTGGGACCCTAGAAGGCAAGTTGACTCGGCCTCCAGAGAAACAACGAGAAACTGCTTAGTGCAGCCTGGACTGGGGGGGGGGGGCGGGGAAGGGCTCTCTTTGGATTCACACCACGCAGCCTCCTTCATGTTCCTCCCCAACAAGGTTCTTATTCTCTTCTAGAGAAAACCCTGAAAACTGACCCGGAGGCCAACTCCAGAGAAAAGGAGCCCTGGCCGCCCTCAGAGTGGGAGCGGTAACGAGGCCTCCTGCTGCCAGCCGTGGCCACTGTCCCGTAACACAAGCCCTGGGAACTCGCTACCCTGGCACCAGGCAGTTGAAGGCAGGTCCCCGTCTCTCCGCACAAGGGGACCCACGGAGCCGGGGGGCCGGGCGTGATCTACTGGCTCACAAGGACAGGCCCAGCCCAGGCTGGGTTCTGCGTGGCACAGAGCACAGCGTGGAAGGTCTGACGTCAGCTGGAGAAGGGACACCCTCCAGGGCCTCTGAGCCCAGGCCAAGGCCTCCGACCAGACTCTCCCCTGTGAAAATCCCCAAGGGCGAAGCAGGAGGAACTGGAAAGCCCGCTACAAAGCCCCAAACTTGCTCCGTAGAGCAAGATTGGGGAAAAACAGCTATCTCAGTAATCACCAGTACAGACCTGTTTTGGCACTTCTGAATTCACTTCTGTAGGCTGGGTCGCAAGGCTCCTGATAGAATGGATCTTGCTGTGTTTTCTGGGAGAAATCAACACAAAACAGCTAAAGTTAGGGGAGGTGTTTTTTTTCTTTTTCTTTTTTTAAATGAAACTAAAGGTCCTTTTGTTTGAAGCATTAGGTCCTTCCCTCAAAAACGAAGGGACCCCAAGTTGCTTCTATAAATGCTCCTTGGGGCTGGGCGCGGTGGCTCACGCCTGTAATCCCAGCACTTTGGGAGGCTGAGGCGGGAGGATCGCTCGAGCCCTGGAGTTTGAGGCTGCAGTGAGCTATGATCAGACTCCCGTACTCCAGCCTGGGCGACAGAGCAAGACCCTGTCTCTAAAAATAAATAAATACATAAATGCTATTGGGAAGCAGACACACAGTCTTCCTTTTATAACACCTGCATGGTTCAGGGTGATTTATTTAAACCTTGAAGTTCTCAGAAGTCCCCTGTTCCAACTGTCACGGCACAGCTGGCAAAGGATCACTGGCAACTGAATGGTGCCTTTCTGGTTACAGGGAGGGTCAGGGGAGGGAGAAGCTGGCTGGGCCCTGACACCCTCTGAATTGCAAGCTACGATCTAACAGTATGGATTCAATACATGTACTTTGGGCAATTATTTTCTAGATCAGTTCTATAACAGAGGTGATTACCACTAATAAGCTAATGCTATCAGAATGTTAAGTTCAGAGGAAAAGGCCTGCCCTGCAAAAGATACATAGGCTCAAGTGGAAGGGACTGACTTTAAGGCCACCCACACATCTTCTTCGTGCCTTCCCTTCCCCCGTCTGCCCGTCTCCCCGTGGCCCACTGAACAGGCATTAGAAACTTTTCAGGTCCTGAAACTCGTGAAACCGGCTAAGAGATGACAGAGATGACATTCCAAGTTATAACAAGCTTTTCTTCAAAATGCTTCAGATTAACACAGAAAAGTTCTGGAGTGTCCTCATTCTAGAATGGGAAAGAGAACTGGGCCACTTCTTAGATGGTCCTCAAGATAATAATTGTTAAGTGTCCAAGAAAATTATGGGGTTTATCTCCAAAAATGCATGCAAAAAACCTTCCAAACGTTACATTTCTGGAAACAAGGCATGAGAAACCACCAGAGATTTGCAGCAGCGGGTACAGACAAAGACAAGTTGTTTTCAGCAAAATCTAGACAAAACACTGAACTAACCTGAATATTTATCAATAGGGAATCAGATAAATAAAATGTAATATCTTTAAAAATACTATAGGGCACTTTAAAAAAGATCTCAAAAAAAAAAAAAAAAAAAACAACAAACCAGGATAGGGTTGAAAAAGCCAGAGGCAGAATTATGTACAGTGAGAGAGTACTTATATAAACAAAGAAGCACACACCCAGAGCAATTCTGCATGTTCTTTTTCGATGCATTCTGCATACACAGAAAGGAGTGTAAATTTGGCAGTTGCCTCTGGGGAGGGGTGAAGGGGAATAATGAGAGCAATTGGTTTGAAAGGTGTTTAGCCATATCTGTAACAATAGCTACAAACAGAAGAAGAAGGAAAAAAAAACCCAGAAACAAATATGTCAAAACATTAATAGTTGTCTAAGTAGGAGGGATATGGGGTATTTGCTGTCTTTTCTGTGCTTTCTTGTAATTTTTAGATGCATGAAAATGAAAAAAGAAAAAGATTTTTAAAACCCCACATGTACCAACAAGTGCTTGGGGCCCCTCACTCTGCGTCTCCACGCCCCGCTGCAACCCCTGGGGCTCTGCTGCTGTGCTCTGGGTGGCACAGCGGGGCCCACGGGCGCCGGGCTCCGGAGCCGGCTGGGAGCCGGCTGGCGTGAGACCCAGGCTGCTCACTTCACCTACGAGAGCTTCAGTGTCTCCATCTTTACAAAGGGAATAAAAGAACGTCGGCCCCACAGAGCTGCTATGGAGGCTTTCGGAGTTAATACAGGCCCAGCTCTTGGAGCACTGCCTGACACACACTAAGAGCTACTCTATAAGCCTTTGCTAACAACAACAATCGTAACAGCAATAAATCCTGTTTCTGCTCACCCAAACTTTAATTAATTAAAAAGTTCATAGAAACACTTTCAATACAAATCTCGAAACACTAAAGGACTCACCCACGAGTCCACTTTTACAGTGCCTTCTCCCCGCTGTAGCCTCGCACGCCCTACTGCTCCTTGCCCCCACCAGCCTCCTCTTCTTCCTCCCCTGCTCCTCTCAGTCTGCCCGCATCTCGTCTTACCCGTGGGTGCCCTAGAATGAACTAAAATGTTCCTGTCTGACACTGAACTTGCTGAGGGTGACTGTGAAGCCGTAGTTTACAGCTCACTGGACACCAAGCCTGGGTGAAGAACTATTTAGCAGCAATAACCCGTTACCTGGAGATTATGGGTCTTCTCAAGTTGGAAACAGCATCGAAGCCTCTCTTACCTTTCAAACTGCACTTTCTTATGTCCTCCTTCCTTAACATAGTCGAGAACCTGCTTCTGAGTCCGACCACTAAAACGAAGACCACGAAAGCAAAGGGGAAAAGACATCAAGGTGTTCTCAATGTAAACACACGGACAACACTTCACCATCTCCACCTAACTCCCCTGCTTCCTTAACTGGGAGGTAGGCAGGCTTTCTCAGCTAGCCGGGATGAAAGGCAATCCCTTTGAGAGCCTGTGCTTTTGTGTCCATTCGGTTTCTTGATATTTTCCTTATACACACAGAAAAAACGTTGGATTAATCAAACCCACTTAACAATTGTGTGCTTGCTTATAGAGCAACTATCCCAAGAGTCTCCACCTCTCACGAAGGCAGGGACAATAAACTGGTGAATGCCTGCAGCAGTGTTTGACACAGGACAGACACTCAAGTGTTTGTTGAAGAATGAATGGAAACATGAACCAATGATGTGCAAGTCCGTGCATTTTTCTATGAAGCGACACCAAATGCTAATAAGGCACTTTTACTGCAACAGAGAAAGGAAATCCTTTCTGCGTGAGAGCATCCTGTTAGGGGTGCACGGTGGGTGGGGACCTTGCCCAGTGCCTCTCAGCCCAGCAAGGACAATCCAGGAGCTGCTGGGATGAAGCAGCGAGTGTCTCTGGAGGCCAGCACGAGCTTGCCTTATCTGCCTGCCGTGTCATCACTGCATAACACGCACGGGTAAGGACAGAGAGTCTCAGGAGAGACGTCCAGAGGGAAAGCGAGGCAAACAGGCGCGAAGAGGCAACCTTACCTGAACCGAAATGATGACCCTCGACTAAAGAGAACAGGCTTTGGCTTTGGTTTGGGCTCTTCAAAAAGTCTAAAAAAGGCATGATGTTCAACGCAGATTTTCCAGAATGACTTGCAAAAATCCCGACTGGCCATCAGGAATTCCAAGGTATCCTGGTAAGAGCTCTAAAAAGGGAAAATATGACTTTGGTGTTTTCGTCATTACTCATGGATATTCTGCTGAAATATGAGAAAGGGAGTACAAAATAAATCTGTCCAGTAAAATTTCAATAGTGCATTTTATTATATTAATAATATGAATAATAGAAATAAAGTGCAAGATAAATGTAATGCACTTGAATCATCCTGAAGCCAACCCTCCCTTCTCCCTGGTCCGTGGAAAAACTGTCTTTCCTGAAAACAAGTCCCTGGTGCCAAAAAGGTTGGGGACTGCTGCTTTAAAGGAACAGAAAAATGTGGTATAGATTCAGCAGAAGTGATATCATTTTTTGACAGAATTCATAAATTATGTTTACTTGGCTTACATTTCCTTCTGAAAAAAATAATCCAAATACTGAAATTCCTTTTTTTGCCTCCTTAAAATAACTGAAGCACAATGTTTCTTTGTTTTCTTCCTCACGTTTCCTATCAACTTCAACTTATGTCTTAAGTCATTTCTCTATAAAATAGCATATGGCTCAAGTCCCCAGGTAGCCCCAGGAGCTACACACGAAATGAATTTTTTTTTTCCTAGAGCACAAAAATATCACTCACTCTCAGTTGAAAAAATTCATGTCCTCTGATTCTGGAAAGGGGACATGATAATGTTCTACTCCCAAACTGAACGCCCCCAGTTTAAGTGGCCATACTATATACACAAAAGTTACTGCAGTCCTTAACACCCCAGCAGCTCCAACTATTTGGGGGAATCTCACAGTTTTAGGCCGACCCAACTTACGAACAAGTTGTGCTGCATTTCTTCATTTGTATAGCTGCTTTTTGGAACTCAAATGCATTTTCCCATGAAAACCATTAGGAATGGGTATATGTGTCCCAGGTCAGGCTGTGAAAGCCTATCTAATCCATATAGTAGCTAAACTGTAAAGCCTAGATTGCCATTTATTATCTCTTTTTCCCCATGGGGAAAAGGGCTCTATGTTCTGGTTGGGGACAGATACCTGGATACACTGCCCGTCTCCTCCATCACCGTTTCTGGCTAACAAAGGCGACACTGTTATTCCCTTCCCCAGCCCAGTCCCAGCACGAGCCATGTCTTCAGTGGTTTCATGGGAAATGAGTGGGAGGGACCTGGTTGGTCGTGAGAACGTGCTGCCTTGGGGGCCCCGTCTGGGTGGCAGCCGAGTGCTGCATGGGGTCTCTGGGTGGGCCCGAGGCTGGACTCTCAGCAACAGCACAGCTCAGGCTGCCTGTCGGGAGGGGCTGCCTGGCTCTGTGCAGGGATGAGACCCTCTCCCCAGGTACACGGCGTGTGCAGGGACACGACCCTCTCCCCAGGTACACGGCGTGTGCAGGGAGATGATCCTCTCCCCGGTACACAGTGTGTGCAGGGACACGACCCTCTCCCCGGGTACACGGCATGTGCAGGGATGCGACCCTCTCCCCGGGTACACAGCATGTGCAGGGACGCGACCCTCTCCCCAGGTACATGGAGTGTGCAGGGACACGACCCTCTCCCCGGGTACATGGAGTGTGCAGGGACACGACCCTCTCCCCAGGTACACGGAGTGTGCAGGGACATGACCCTCTCCCCGGGTACACGGAGTGTGCAGGGACACGACCCTCTCTCCGGTACACAGCGTGAGCAGGGAGATGACCCTCTCCCTGGTACACAGCGTGTATCTTCTCATGCTCTTTCCATGGACTGCACATCCGGATACAGCTGTGCGCACAGACTCTGAGTTTGTGTTCACGAAAGCACCCTGGTAGCACCGGCCAAAGTCTCAGCGTAAGCCCTGCCGAGCGCAGACCTCCAGCCCCCACGGGGCCCTCTCCACCCCTGGCTCGGTTGGTCCCGTCCGCCCGAACCACTTACGTTGGCATCAGGGCGCAGCTTGATGAGAAAGCGCTTCCTCTTGAAGCTCAGCTTCCGCACCTTGGCCCAGTTGAAGGCATTGATCTTAGTGAAGCCCTGAGAAGACAGACAGCAGCCGTGAGCCAGGAAACGCGTAACAAGGGACCCAGCTGCTCCCCTGCGCCTGTGGGGCGGGAGGCGGAGGGCCGCAGTCTCGCGCTTCGTAAAGATGCCTTCTGCTGCGAGTTCATGGGCTGCGTGGCTGTCCTACGACGCCCGTTGCTCCTGCATCCTATTCCCCACTAATTGTACGATCTGGCATTCAAACCAAGTCTGCCTCCGGGCAGGGAAGAGGCTGGTCAAGGTAATGGTGAAAAGAAAGAGAAACAGATACAAAAACCATGGCAACCACCACAATAATTAGCAGCCATCACTTAGGGAGTGCCAGGTACTATCCTAAGGGCTTTATAGACCTTAGCTGATCAAAGCTTATACTGCAAACCCAGCAAGACAGATTTATTATTTTCATTTTCTAGACATGGAAACTGCAACACGGATGTATTTTAATGTGTCCAAAATCATACAGCTGATGTAGCAGGAGGACATTCCCGAGCACGTGCCTTAACCAGCAGCTACTGTTGGAAGCCAGCAGGTTGGCAATTCTCCCTCCTCGGACACACCCGCTTGGCCTCTGTGCCCACCCAGCTTCCAGTAGCACCAGCAAGACTGAGGCCGGGAGGCCAGACCTGCTGTGTGTCTTCAAGGCCGGTGCGTGGTCTCTGGGCGGGGCTCACTGGCCCTCACCGTCTTTGGTAGCCCGGCATGATGGAGCCACCAGATCCCAGAATTAGAAATCCTCTCGGGCCCACTTGAACACCAGGCCCATTTATTTAAAGCAGTGAGAATAAGGCAATCAGGCTCTGGCAAGAAGATGAATGCCAAGATACAGCCTTTGTACAGGATTTAATGACCTAGCAATTCTCAATATTTAGACTGTATCAAACATAATCACAGCCAATTAATCAGTGGTCAGGCATTTCTTCCCCTTCCCCTTTTATGATTTTTAGAAGCATTTAAGGGTTGTGACTTTGAAACTTAATGGTAGCCCTGAAGACTCCATTGGGTTTTATTGTTGTTTTTCTTATCGGGCACTCATAGGCCATGCACGCAGGTCAAAAACTGTTAGGGGCAGTCACCGCTTCAAAGACTGCGCTGCTCTTGTCACTCCCTACTCCCTGATAGGAAAGCAACTTTGAATGTGATTCTGTCATAATTAGCATATATCATAAATTTCTGACACATGAGCAGATAATCGCTGGGACTCTCTTGAACAAGCATAAAAGGGAAGATAAGTGCACCTGGAAGAGCTCAAAAAGATTTTAGATCACGCACATATTTACAACTTCAAAATGGGTGAAATCTGATCCTATTTCGTGAGAAACGCACATGCTTTCTCCACGTTCATTTGAAATCAAAGCACAGGTTTCCCGCTCATGTTTAAAAGGAAGGTATTCAGCAAACTTTTGGGGATGGTAGATACGTTCATTATCTTGATTTTGTAGATGGTTCCACAGCATGCACATACGTAAGAACCTAACAAATCGCGACACTTTAAATATATGCACTTTACTATATGTCATAATACTTCAATGAAGCTATTAAGAGAGAGATTGATCATAAAGCCACCCAATAGCAGAGTCGCCGACAGAGCACACATTTCAGAGTGCAGAGAACCGCAATGCCCTGAAGTAGAACACAGGCAAGAATTCAGGTGCGGTGTGTCTTCTGCTACACAATCACTATAGTGCAAGAATGTGGATTTTGGGGATTTATAAAACTGCTATATCTTAAATGTGTACATTACACTTTTCTTTTTTAAGTTAGGTATATCTGAAGCCCCATATAAGCAAGCTGGCTAGCCCCAATCAGGTTTAATAAAAAAGGGGTCAGATTACAACAGAATATGATTTGCAAGTATGAAAATGGTGTTTATTTGGGGATCTGAAATCTTGATTCCATAGATCCACCGAGAGATACAGGTTTCTGTGATCCCACAGAGTCAATAAACCCAAACAAATCTGTGATACGGATTTTCCAACCAGGGCAAGGGTGAGTGAAATAGAATCTGGAAGTCGAGGGCCTGGGAAACAGAAAGCCCAAGATGAGGTTAGTCTTTCCTTGTTCAACGATCAGAGGTCTTAGCTCGGCCCACCCAACGAGCACCAGAGTCGAAGGGCCACCTCTTCTCTCCCCACCACCAAGGGGACCGGGCTGTGTCCTCAGCGCTCTCACCTGAAACACTAGAATGCCCGTGTTGGCAACGGCCAGATTGATCTTAGTGCCTTCCCTGTCCTTGGCCGGGTGCAACCGGATTCCGTACATCTCCAGCCGCCGTGCAATCTCCAGGAGCTGGAAATCCGACTCTGCCGGTGTTTGTCCACTGACAAAACAAAATTAAAGAGAAAGGCCAGGAGATTTGAATTCCCCGTGTCTATTAACGTGAGATTAAGAAGCTTCTCTCGGGAAATAAGAAGGCATTTTATCACAAACAGTGGGGCTACCCGATCAGATGACATCTAACCTCCCATTCACTACAGCCCAGAGTCTAGCAGCTGGAACAAAAGCTCCGTTGCTCGAGTAACACAAAACCCCAAAAGTCTATCTCAAACTCGGCCAGTTTTTTTGGGAATCTCAAAGAGTTTCCTTTAAGGTCACATAAAAGCAAAATACCACTGTGTTAAAACAAGTTTCTAGCCACTTACAATAACCTAAATTTGCAAGCAAAGTTCAAGGCAGCACTCTTTTATACCGTCATCGGGCTCAAATGCCTTCTTTAAAACACCACCAAAAAAAAAAAAAAAGTCACAGAATTCTTTGAAAACATTTTACTAATCCAAATAAAAAACAAAAATGGGAGATGTTACAAAGGTTCTAGATTTTCACCATATTCCTAACTTTGCCCCTAGTTGACCCTGTCCCTTTCCCAGTTTCCGGTTAAACTGGATGGTCCTTTGGTCTTATACTCTCCCTTTTATTACAAAGCTTGGAGTGCCCTAAAATTCCAGGCCTCATCAGGTCTCTCGGGAAGGCAAGCCAGGGCCAGGTCCTCAGTGGGTGGCCTGTACTTCTGCCAGCCCGGGGTAAGCTGCAACATCCCAATGAGCCTTCGTGCCCTCTCCCTTTGTTTATTTCTTCACAACAGCTTGTGTGTGTGTGTACGTACACCCACTTATGTGGGGAGGCGGAGAGAAGCCACTCAAAGGGAAGATAAATCCACGGATGACACTTACATGTGGTTATGATGAAATTCCACGATTTTGTCTTCTAGTGCATCTTGCTGAGGTATGTACTTATTTTTTGCTAAGTGCTCTCTGTCCGATGCTTCATCAAAATCCCCAATCTCCGCTGAAAAGAAACAGAGAATGAAAAGTAGGCCACCTAAGATTAACACTTCAAAATCGGTTCTATTGCCCAGCTGGCGGACACCATAAGGTAGGCCAGTTGGCGGGGAAAGTTCCAAGGGCTAGACTTCAGAGGTGGGGGCGTGAGGACGTATTTAACAATCACGGCGAGGCGAGACGATGGTGTCCACTCCTTCTCGTCTCCACCAGTTGGGAAGAAGCTTCAGAAGCACGCATTTTTCGCCATACATGTTCCTGTTTTTCTTCTTTCCTCCTCATCCACCTGTGGGTTCACATCTGTTCTCGGCAGTAAATTCCATCCATGTGGATGACAACCACATGACTTCTAAATAGGCCCTGGAATGTCAGGACTTTACAAACTCAAATTCTGAAACCCTCTCTATATAAGAATGATGGGTGCAAATGCTTTATCATGTAGAGAAAAGAGAATTGTTAAGTGGGTGTAAAAGCAGATAATCTAATTTTTAAAAAATTCAAGAGTTTATTAAATTTCTTGTAGTCCTGTTACTGGAAATAATGGGTCAGATTGCAAAGTCCGAGAAATTCTTCTTGTACGAGAAACAGGATGCATTTTCTCATGTAACCTAAACAGAGTCCTCCAAATTGCTGTATTGTGGAAATTTAAAGGATAGAGCTTTAAAAGTCACCATTGTTCCTTAACAACCCTAGCTTAAGCTCAGTTTATACCAACTGTAATACTTCCGGGGCAGCATGCCTTTTTATTTGTATCACACATTCTGTGTAACAAGCTTAATAAAAAAACAGCCTCATGATCAGAGCCCAGCTGTTTTGATAAGAAGCAAGTGGATGGTTGCTACGAAACCTACCTTTTGTTTTTGTCACGTGAAGTGGCTTGTCACACTCCAGGCAATGCATCTCCAGTTACCAAGCAGGATGTGACCTATCTGTTGCCATAAATCACACCCGAGGCAGTGCCCGCTCACCTGGCGACAGCTGGGGCTTGGAAGAATCAATCGCTCACCAGCTTCCTCTTGCTATGTCGGAACAACAACACTGTTTCCTAATTGCCTTTTCTGGACTAGTTTCTCCCTCCGTCAATAGAGTAAAATCGCCACCCTCCCTCAGAAACGGGGGGTACCTCTGGTCACGCTGCCATCTTATCTGTTGCCTTGACAATGGTGGTCCTGACTTTCCTGCAATTCCTTCCACCTTGTCTCAAGAAAGTGCAGCTAATTCTTGTTATCTGGGGCAGTTATAATCTATGCAGTCGCCGTGAACACTGGATTAGTGATTATGGAACCACACTGCTCCCAGGGGAAACACAGGGCTAGGTTCCTGCAACACTCTTTTTTTTTTTTTTTGGAGACAGAGTCTCGCTTGTTGACCAGGCTAGAGTGAGTGCCGTGGCGTCAGTCTAGCTCACAGCAACCTCAAACTCCTGGGCTCAAGCAATCCTCCTGCCTCAGCCTCCCGAGTAGCTGGGACTACAGGCATGTGCCACCATGCCCGGCTAATTTTCTATATGTATTAGTTGGCCAATTAATTTCTTTCTATTTATAGTAGAGACGGGGTCTCGCTCTTGCTCAGGCTGGTTTCGAACTCCTGACCTCGAGCAATCCGCCCGCCTCGGCCTCCCAGAGAGCTAGGATTACAGGCGTGAGCCACCTCGCCCGGCTTCCTCCAACACTCTTGAAACGACATCTTGTTCCCCGTCCTTGTGTGATGTGCGCTTCTGGGCAGAGCCACGCGGCGGCAGAACTCACGCCTGAACAAAGCTTATCTAACACCCGTGTTTTCTCTGTAAGGCAGATGGCACTACACTTGGGGACACTACACAGCACTTCAGCACTACGCTCGGGGGCCGTTTTGAACGGGGAAACCACCAACAATACGCATACAAATGCGGAAAGCATGACATTAAATAGACCGAGAAAAGGACACCTGTTAACAGCACAAGGAAACACACGAAGGTAGAGCGTCGCCTGCGTCAGGTGACCCCAATTTTCCGCCATCTTGGGCATGTCCACAAATGGCCATGAAAGTGCAGGAATGTTGACTGGGGACTATAAGAAAGTATCGGCCAGTGAGCAAACGGGCAAATATGGAATCCGGGAATTTGGAGGAATCACCTAAGTCCTAAATTTCTTGTGAGCTCTAAGTTTGGGCTTTTTAACGTCTATGGACCTTATAAATAACACACTCCTCCCAATAATCCCATATAAAAAGAGTATCCAGGTTTTTCCTTTGACATCAGGGTGGACATACCTTGCCCTCCTCGAATGCCGTGGCAACGTGACCATGAAACGTATCTGCTCCCAGTGCCTTCTCCCCTTTGAAATATGGAAATAGGCTCCTCCTTGGATTTTGAGAATTTGAGAACCAACACATATTCAAGACCCGACTTCCTATTTCTTAATGTTTTTTGCTGTGTATGTGATATGTCCTATCAGCTTATGCACATTCTGTATTCATAGTGGTCTACTCACAGCAAGGTCATGTGGACAACAAACAACCCAAAATCCGGGCAATTCAATCAATGAATGGGACTTCTCTAGGGGACATGTCTGGACAAGCCCACTCTGCCAGGTATTGTCCTCAGAGCAGGGACACACACGACTTGCGTGAATGCAGCCCTGCCAAGCCGCCACGCCCCCCCCCCAAGTGACATTTTTACAGCAGGGACATCTAGTGTCTGATTCATCTCTTTATTGGCTTGTCCTACTTAGTTGATCCGTAACAAATTAGAGGAAATTAAACGTTTGAAATATCGCAGGGAATATACAAGGACAGTGACAGAGGAGCAAACAAAAACAATACAGACTATCTGGAAGACTCCATGCATTCAAATAAAAGGAAGGGGGGAAAATAAAAGACTTCAGATTATGTGTATAAAGATGAGTATCCAGCTTACCGGAGAGAATTTTCCATTGGCATTAATATAGCATATGCCAAAGAGAGATGACTTGACCCCCAATACCTTACCAATAATGCATACAATTACCAATAATTGAAATCAGGACACAATTCACAATTTCACAGATTCTGTGAAATTTCTTTCATGGCTGAGTACATGGGATGTTTAAAAATGCAGAAACAGGGCTGCATAAAAGAAAATATGTCTTAGGACTGTACATTAAATACCATGTAAATAGCAGGAGTCCTTCTGAACTCATCTATTTAACTTTGGAGAACTCAAGATTCTTGGGGGATTCTGAGCCACTTGCAGGTGTCTGGGCAGGAGTGTTGTATCAGACCAGGGTTTCCTGAGGGTCAGAGAATCTCCATTCCCAGATGTGCAAGTGAGATGCACAGTTGTTAGCAAACTTTCATCTTTTTAATTGACAAAATAAAAATTGTGTATATTTATGGTGAACAACATGATGTTTTGATGTGTATGTTACATTTGGAATGGCTCAACTGTGCTAATTAACATATGTAGTACTTCACATACTTTTATTTGTGGCAAGAACACTTAAAATCTATTCTTCATGCAACAGATTTTTAAAAGAAAAAAACATAAGAGGAATGAGGTATTAAGAATAATGGCATCGGGAATCTTCGAGTAAGGTAAATTTCTCTTCTGCTTACAAAATGCCCAGGGTCAGAGACATTTTATGAAGTCACTATTCCAATAAGGAGACTTCACTTAAAAATCTTACACTGTTTGGAAAGGGAGGGCTGCAAGTGAGTGAGGATAAAGAAAGGAAAGTAATGTTTACGGAACACCTAACATGTCTTGAGTATACAGTCGGCCCTCTGTATCCGTGGGTTTCGTGTCTATGGATTCAACCAACTGTGGATTAAAAATATTCGGAAAAAAAACTGCATATGTACTGAACATGTACAGACATCTTTCTCTTGTCATTATTCCTGAAACACCACAGCATAACAACTATTCACATAGCATTTACGTTGTATTAGGTATTATTAGTAATCTAGAGATGATTTAAAGTATACAGAGGATGTGTGTGGGTTTTGTGCAAATTCTACGCTATTTCTTATCAGAGACTTGAGCGTCCTAAGGTTTGGTATCCTTTGGAGGTCCTAGGACCAATCCTCCATGAATACTGAGGGACAACTGTATTTGCTGTCATGTAATTCTCACAGCCTTATGAAAAAGATTCCATTAGTCTCATGTTTCAAAAGAAATGAAGTTGGAGGGCTGGCAACGTACAGGGGTCACCCACCAACTAACAGAAACGAGGGCTGCGTGACTCAAAGCGTTCTTCTCTCTCCACTATTATTTTAGGAAGAGGGAAGACCAAACGCAGAGAAGAAAAATGTGCTGTAACATTCCATGCCAAAGCCTCCTCACTTGTAAAACGAGGGTAATAGTAGTATTGATCTCAGGGGGCTGTTGTGAGAATTAAATGAGATCACACACACAGTGTTGGCGCACTCGAAGGTTTAATAAAAGATACCTATTTTTTTGTTTCCCTTTCTCACATCCCTTTTTTCAAATTAATAAGAAAACATCTATCTACAAAGTCTACTAAACACTCAACAATGCTCATTTATAAAAATTAAGAAGCACCGTCAGGCCGGGCGCGGTGGCTCACACCTGTAATCCTAGCTCTCTGGGAGGCCGAGGCGGGCGGATTGCTCAAGGTCAGGAGTTCGAAACCAGCCTGAGCAAGAGCGAGACCCCGTCTCTACTATAAATAAAAAGAAATTAATTGGCCAACTAATATATACAAAAAATTAGCCGGGCATGGTGGCGCATGCCTGTAGTCCCAGCTACTTGGGAGGCTGAGGCAGGAGGATTGCTTAAGCCAGGAGTTTGAGGTTGCTGTGAGCTAGGCTGACGCCACGGCACTCACTCTAGCCTGGGCAACAAAGCAAGACTCTGTCTCCAAAAAAAAAAAAAAAAAAAGAAGCACCGTCTATAGAAACATCTTATTGTATTAGACTAAGGCAATTTGTTGACTACTAGGAGTGACATTTCCTATAAACCTTTGGAAATCCTGTTAACTGGGCAGTGATCAGAATGGGATGCAGTTGATTATATGGGACCACTTTGTATACAATGGAAATTAAAAAGATGATATGACAACACAACATTTTTTTCCTACTGCCTATATAATTGCAGAACACAACTTTTTTTTAATAGTAGTGATTATACACATTGGCCTTGGTCTATACACACCATTACTTTTCTGAAGCATAATGTGTCTATTTCATTTTACGTAACTTCTGCCTTGGTCGAGAGCTTGGAATGAGCACACTCTGATTCATCCGTTGTCTAGATTAAGACAAACTACCTAGTTTCAAGCATCGCTAGGATTCAGTCCAGCTTCATGTATCTTGGTTTACTAAACTCAAGAGGGTACAACACTCTAAAGAGAAGTGAAATCTGTGGTGGTTTTATGTCTTAAGGCTAATGTGGCCATATTCAATGATGAGGTTTAAATCCAAGAACAAGTGTAGTCTACTCGGCCACCATCCATCCAAGCTTCTCCTTTGAAACAACTAAGGTAGCAACTGTATACCAGTCTTTGAACAAAGTAGACAAACACCAAACAGAGAATTTGTGGGTTAATGTTTGGGGATATGCATATTAAATGATGTCAGGAGTCTTGTTTTCTCTTCTACACATGGGCCTTCATGCTAACAGCAAAAATAACACAAAGATATTGTTGCTGTTTATTTTGTGGATGTGATTCCCCCCTCCACTATTCAGATCATTGTGTTATTTCCAAAAAGATTTTCAAAGGAAACCAACAGAACTTACATTGTACAATGTGTGAAATCAAGAGAGCTGCGCTGGTGTCATTGCATGTCAACCTGCCTTGAGCCAAGTCCTGCTTCACCTGCAGAGCAAACAGGTACCTGTGAAGATCAAGAGAGACGGACGTCATGCAAAGGGGACAGGAGGGTCCACATCAGAGGCAGCTCACCCCGGGCAACCTGTCCACACCATGAGACACTGAAGACAGGGATAAAAAAATCCAACAGTGAGAAGGTCTGCATGGGTTGGAATGAATTCCCGCTGCTACTGTAGACAGTGTAAACACCTCCCCTCTAAATACAAAGAGACATATATGGAGAGAGAGAGAGCCATAAAAATTTAAGACTATAGTCTATTGCCCTATATATTTTTGCAGGGTACAGGAAACACTAAATTTTTTTTTTTTTTTTTTTTTTTACTGAATCAGTCATACATACTCTAAAATGGCTTTATGGCTCAGACAATAATAGTTTATTATGGTGAGAAGGAGAATCAATGTCAATGAAATCAGAAAAACAAGGGTGTCCTTTTTTGTGGCATAACAGTTACTTAGCTACTTCCATAAGCCCAGTTACCAGATCTGTAAAATCAATTTAAGTTATTCTTTTCTTTATACTGTGGGATAAAGTAAGATGGGATTTTTGGTGTAAGAGAAAAAAAGATATTTGTAAATCAAAGAAATTATGTTAAAACTGTGTGATGTTAAAACAGATTTGAAAATAATGATTATGAACTCATAAAGTTTTAGAAGGTATTTACTAGTTTTGCCAACTATCTGGAAACTGTCTCCTCAGTAGCTACCCTTCACAACCAGATTCTGTCCCTCGTACGAGTGTCCATTGGAATGATGCAGAGGTAGGTCCTTGGAGAAATGGTGGATTCCACGTCTATTAAAGCAACTCCTTGTTCACAAATCGGTAATCCATGGCAAAGAACTGAGCATATACCCTACCTCTCCAGTAGAAAGGGCATTTCAGGATAGTCAGGTAGCTCAAGCAGATGAGGCAAAATTTTACTTTACAGGACAATGCCAAGGTATGACGTAGCATGAACAACAGAATTAGAAAATCCTCATTCCATGACCTTTAGAGATTACTGACTCTAGCAAGAATTGTCAATTGGCAAAAAGAAGCAAAAAAACTATTTAGGAGACTGGACATTTGTACAGGGCTAAAGTAACATGACGTTACTTCACAATGGAAAGATGAGAATGTCACCACCTTATTTTATTTTGAGACCGGGTCTGTGTCACCCAGGATGGAGCACAGCGGCCCATTTATAGCTCACTGCGGCCTCAAACTCCTGAGCTCAAGTGATCTTTCTGCCTCAGCCTCCCAAGAAGCTGGGACTATAGGTACCACCCACCATGCCTGGCTGATTTTTAAAATATATTTTAGAAAAGAAGGTCTTGATATGTTTCCCAGGCTGGTCTTGAACTCCTGGCCTCAAGCCAGCCTCCTGAGTAGCTGGGATTATAAACACAAACCACTACTCCTGGCTCCAGAATGTCACCACTTTAATCCAATGAATAATCTGAACATCATTAATCAAAAGTGAAACACATAACATCGCTTACAATGGGTTCTAGCCTAAAATGTTGAACTGGATCCATCAAACCTTAAAATGAATTCCCAAAGCTATGGTTTGAATGTTTGTCCTCCCTAAATCTCATGTTAAAATCTGACACTCAACACTGGAGGTGGAGCCTAATAGGAGGTCATGGGGGAGGATCCCTCATGAAGACATTTATGCCCTCCCCTGGGAGTGTGTGAGACCTCCCTGGGAGTGTGTGAGATCTTGCTCTATCAGTTCCCCAGAGAGCTGGTTGTTAAAAAGAGTGTGGCACATCCGCCCAGCTCCTCATTCCCCTCTCACCATGTGACCTGCACACACCGGCTCCCATGCACCTTCCGCCAGGAGTGGAAGCAGCCTGAGGCCCTCGCCAGCTATTGATGCTCAACCTGGAACGTTCTAGCCATCCAGAAGCATGAGCCAAGCAAAACTTAGGCACTCCTCTATAGCAACACACAATGGGCTAAGACATCCAGTTTTCAGGAAAATACAAAGCATAGAGGAAGAAGCCAAAGAGCCTCAAGAGGAAACAATCAGAAAAATTCAGAAGGTAGGCTATTGTGTAGTATACCTGGTCCACCTTCTTCAGTAAGATGGCATCATAAAGAACAGAAAATGAGGGACTACACTACATTACAAGAGGCCCAGAAGATGCATAACCAGACACAATACATGGTCCTAGAGTAAATTTTACGTTAGAATAAGCAGATATAAATGTAAATATGGCCAACATATTAGATGAGATGAAACACATAGGAAAAAACCAGAAAGGAAATCATGCTAATGTGATGGGCAACAGAATACAGCATTCTTTCCAAGTCTTATTTGTATATTCTAACTTTCTACAATGTATATTTACTGCTATTATAATAACCAAAGGTTATTTTTAATTCTCAAAAAGGCCTTTAACAATATCAACTACAAGTTTCCATAGAATTAAATGAGATAATACATGGAAAACAGGGACTACAACAAAAAAATTCAATAAATGTTAGCAATTTCTTTAAAATAAAAGAATAACTGATCCCTTTAAAGTCATTTAGTAAGTTCCACTCTTAAGAACTAAAAAAAAATCACTGTGGCAATTATATAACTAGCAAAAAACACCCTACAGATTTAGGCATCAGTTGACCTTTCTCTGACCTCCTTAATGATTATTCTTGTTCCCCTACCCCTTCTGTCTCTGGAAAGTCAAAGGGAAGAAAAGCAGAGAACATAAAACAATCTAAATATCAACATAAAGGTTCATACGGGAAGAGGCAGTACAAACGACCTTTCTGGATTAGTCAGGGATTATTGCCTTTTGAACCCGACACGCCACAGAGCTACAGGCTTTACTTCTAATCTGTGCGGTTGATTTTTTAAATAAGTAGGAGGGTTTTGTGTTTTAAAAGCATTACATTCTGAATATTTTACCATTTACCAGCTCAAACACGAGGTCCCGTGTGCACAAGGAAGTGTGCTCAGTGACAGATTCATGGTCAAGGTCCGGCCGGCTTTGGGGACCTCTGGTGACGATCTCCCGTAGGCCGCGAGATGGCATCGGGCTCTGAAAGCTCACACGTTCGTTTGGAGGGCATGTGCCTTTCTGAAGACCGAAGGAAGAACTTGTCACCCTGACTATGCTGACTCCTCCCGTCCCAAGGCCCTTGTAACACGAGAAATAGCTTCCTGGGTAGTAACGCTGTCCACTTTTCTTACTGACATGAGCTGTAAGTTGAGCACGCTGGCCGTGATGCTAACTTTAGAGACTAAGCAACACCTTTAGTACTATAAACTGAAGCAATTCCAACCAACCTCACAAGAATTAAAGGCTAGGGTTTCACCGGGCAGTCACTAAAAAAATTGAACCGGTTAAACCGGTAAACAGGATGAAAACACAAAGTTGCTCAGAATGGAATCTCCTCTTCTTGCAGAAGGGCTGGTTGAGGAGGGTGGTGACGATGGTGGCAGGAGTAACCCAAGAGGCAAACTGCAAGGGACTGCAAGGGTTACACGTCACACCCATCTGACACCTTGCTTTGTTCTCAACATGAACATTTTTAATTTATTCCATTTAGAAGGTCCCAATCGTCTCTTTCTTATTAAATGCAAATCATTTGCAATTTCCCTGCAATCTCAGGGAACACTTCATTCAGCAGGCAGTACCGGGCAGCGGAACCCGACAGGGTCCTCTCTGGTTATAAGAAGCACACAGGCAAGTAGAAATCAGATCCGATGGAAGAAGGGATGTCCCAAGGGAAGGGGAAGAGCAAAGGGCAGCAGAACTCCCAGGAGAAAAGTGATTCTGAGCTATGCATTAAGAAAACCTGGGAACTTCCTTTCCAAAGCCCCCCTGGCTTGCTGTTTGCCGCCTGCACTCACGAGTCAGTACTGTTCACCTTTTAGATGCCCGGGCGCTGCTGTCAATAGGACAGAGTTTCACCGAGTGCACAGTTCAATAAATAGAAAGGAATTCAGCTTCTTGTTTAGCAGCAAAGTGCAATTTAATCTTCTATCTATATAAGTGGGAAGCTGGAAGCTATTCCGGGAGGCCCGAAGAATTAACTACAGAGCTAGGGACACTTATGCTTTGCTAAACTGTAGGCCGGTTCCTCTGTCCCGCTCCTGAGCACACGTCCCTCCCCCAAAGCACGGAGGACATGGAGCTTCTCCCAACGTCCCCCACTCACCCCCTGCCAAATAAAAGTGCCCACAGCCTCAACGGTCAGTATATTTTCGCTTATACAGCAATCTACTTGAGTGTGTGGGAGTCCCCACACATCAGCCCCGTGAGGTTCCCTACACTCTCTGCCAAAGCAGATAGAGACGGGGAGTTGATAAATAAATGCGGTAGAAATTTCAGATCAATTTTATTCAACATTGAGCCAAAAGAACTGTCTCCTTGGAAAAGATTTCTGAAATGTCAGTTCACACCGGGAGCCAGAGAACCAAAACAACAAAACCTGCCGCATCCGGCTGAGCTCCTGTAACTTAGGGAATTTATCGGCATCATATCGGCATCGACAGAGAAGCTGGCAAGACACCAGGCGCACCCAGCTTAATGGTAACAAGTTGTGTGGGGTTTTGTAACAAGGACCGGGATGGTAGAAAAGCACAAACCTCCAGAGACAACGATTCACAGAGATTGAAAAGGCGCAAAACTGCTTGCAAAGTAGAATTTTCAATGGAAAAATGAAAAAAGAAAAAAAAAAACAAAACCAAAAAGAGGATGTATGCCTCCAACTGCCCAAGCAGGGACGAGGCCCAGTGATTTGCAGGAGGAGAAGGGACAGGGCTGAGCAGCAGCTGGACTCGCTCTTAGCACGCTGAGATCAGAGCGATGCACGTCCCAGCACCAGGCAAACTGCCCGGACACCCACATACAGCAGCCCCAACACAGGGCCCAGGTCGCGTGCACCCCAGTATAGCAGATCCGCCAGATTTCGTCATCCCAGGAGGCAGGTGGCTTCTGCCCGCTCCTGGCCGCCCTCACCCTCTTCACTAACTGGAGGACCAGTGTGGAGGTGTGCGATTGATGGCAGTTCATTCAGAAAACACAAAATGGCGAAGTTGTCGTCATCGTCTCTTCCTGGAACCCCTCATTCCTGCATCCAGTGGCCCTCCTGCCGTGGCCACATGATGTCTAACAGTCTACACATGTCTAACACTGGGGACCTGGCAAGAACCCCCTCTTGACGCTCTACCTGCCCCAATCCTCCACTCCCCCCCACCCTTCTCATATTAGCAATGGGCAACACCATCTATCCGGCCACTCAAGTTAAAAATCTAAGTGTCCCCCCAACTTTCCTCAGACTCCACCTCCGACTCATCACCAAGACAGGGGACCCTACATGCAGCACATATTCCAAATGCACCCACTCTGCTCCACGTCCACTGCAACCGACCTCCTGGCCGCCACGGTCTTGGCCTGGACCACTGTCACGGCTTCCTCCCTGCAGTCCCCGGGAATTCCCCCTCCCACAGCACCCACACTGCTCTCTCAACACTGCGTGTCTCAGAGCCTCTGCCCCTCCCTGCACCGACCCCAGCGCCCCTGCCACACTGGCCTCCCTTAAGTGCCAGGACGTGTGGAGCTCATTCCTGCCAGGGGCATCCTACTGACTGCTCTGTCTCTCTGGAAAGCTCTTCCTCGAGAAAGCACTGACAGATGCTCCTCGCTTCCTCTAGAGGCGCCCCAGACCCACCAGTCTGAAGCCATCACCCAGTCACTTCCTATCACATCATCCTGCTTCAGTTACCTAAAGAGCTCTTCCCGTGATCTGATGTTTTTCTTGTTTATTTAACCATTTTGCCTGTTTCCGTGAGACTCAAGACTCGTCTTTTCACCATGATAGTCCCTGTGCCTAGAACATGCTCACACACAGTGCACACCTAATAAACACTGTTGCCCAAATGAACGTCTTCACCTCTTTGATAAATCACTGTCAGCGGCCCAAGGTACTGTACTCTGTACCAAGAGGGATGAGAAAGACATGGTGACCTTGGTCTTAAACAGCCATCGCTTGAGATGCACGTGTGACAAGAACTGGTTGGTCAGACTAGTGTGCTGTGAAGGGTACTCTTGAGAGAGAGACATTCTATCTTTCTGTGCTCCTGCAGCTTGGCTCTCTGTTGGAATACATCTGTCTTGCCTCAGATTATAGACTGAGCAGTAGTCGTGATGCTGTTGATGATGACGATGGTGGTGATGGCAGTGGTAGTCGTCGTGATAGTGAAGATAATGGTGATAGTGGTGGTGATGACAGTTAGCATTTATAGTGTTCCTACTGTATTCCAGCCACTCTGTACTAGTGCTTATCCGCAAAACAACCCTGGCCGAGCAAGCATTACAGTCTGCATTGTTGAGGGAAATTAACAACGGCACAGAGGGAACGAGTAACTGGCCAGTCACACAGCTGGCGAGTGGCAGGAATAATGGCTGGAGGCCAGGCATGATCCAACGCTCCCACTTCTCCTACTTGGCCACACTTTCAAAGAAACTGACTGACAGTTCATGTCAAATCCACCTATCCAAGGCAACAGCAAAGACAGTCTTCAGTTAACATTTTGGCTTCACAGAAAAGCTTTACTTCCCAAAACTGCCTCATAATGTGATAGATCTAACATGGAAAATATGACATTAACAGGTTATAAACCCAGTTCACTTCACATCACAGCCTTAAAGAAACCAGGTCTTAGGGAAAATGTACTTTTCTTCCCTCCATTTTTAGAGGCAGAGCTGGGAGAGAGGAGGGTTAAATTATTAAGCACAGAGCATGCTGGCCAAGCAAATATTATGAACATTTTTATTTAATTAAATCAGAGTATTAATTTTCTCTTTTCCTCTGTATGCTGTAGCAAAAAATATCCAGGTTCCAAACCACTAACCTTGTGAGTTCTTCTTGGAGTTGTGTGTGGTCAGGTGGAAAGAATTTCACCACAAACTTAACAACAACATGCTTTGGCCCTAAAGAAGAAGCAAAAAAGCAATGAAGCATTTATTGATTTGTAATTCAAATGCCATTAAAGAAAACGACTTTACAGGGTATATTACACCAAACAATGCGTCTCATCCCAAGCGCCTAAGAGTACATCTGCCAACCACCAAGTCACTCAACAACTGGCCAAGTTTGGCTACTAATTCACACTTCCATATCGTGGGGAAATAGGTACCTGTTTTTAAAAAATACTATGGCAAAGGTATTACATTGAGCCATTAAAGTTTTTCTCTGGAGACTTCAATTATACTAAGGTTTTAAAAAAATTATACTCAGGTATCTTAAGAAATATATCTACAATTGTCTGCTTTTATCCAAATATAGGATTTGGATAATTTGAGAAAAAGATAATGAAAATATAAATCAGTTATGCAATTTATTATATTTAACTATGTACAAGGCTAATGTGCTCATTATGTCTGTTTCTAGCAACCTAGGTGCTCTCCTGAGCTCTGGAGAGAAAACATAAACAAGACGTGGCCCTGCCTCTGTCAGCCAAAGCCTTTATGACTGTCTTATAAACCATCGTACCAATGAGTTAAGACAAAACCGGGAAGCAGGTAGAGGGCAGGGGGAGGGAGACTATGAACAATATGGATAACTTTTCTTTTCGGAATTAAAACAGAACAAATAAATTATAAGATAATACTCTGTGATCTGGGGCAGAGGTTTCTGTTAATGTGCAAACTACAATGCAAGAGCAGTGCCATAAGGTCTGCCATTGGGAATGACAGCAATGCATTTACATTCTACGAGATACAAGGTATTATAACAAAATTCAAATTTTCATAGTGATGGTATAAAAGCAAAAAATGTCTTGTTTGTTGTTGTTCTTTTCATGATCGAACACAAAAAGTAGATTTTGTGTTAAAATTTCTGAGACCATACATTCAGGTTTAGAAAAAAACGAAAACGCTACCATAAGCTGACAATGTCAGCAATATATACAAAATCAGGAGAAAACAGCAAGGCTTTGGAAATACCGAAGCCAAGAGAAGCTGGGCTTCTTTTCCCTGATAACTCTGAGAATCAGCAGAAACCCCCGCATGTCAACTGTGGAGCACAGAGTCACAGCAGCAGAACGAGGAAGACAGGAAGGCCACGCTGTTTCCTCTCGGCAATTTTCACAGAGAAGAAACTAAATAAGGCTGCTGGGATCCTTGGAAAACCTGAAGCTAGGAAGATGCTAGCACTCAATGCGAGGTGACAGCTTTGTCACACTGGGTCAGTCATGATACAAACAGATAACAGCCCTGCTCTGGCTCTGACTGGACAACAGTGGAGTGTGTCCGCAGGGCTGCCCTGCAGAGACACCTTCCCAAATTCTGCCTGAACCACTGCAAGGGCAATGTCTGTCTTCTCTACTGCATGCTGCCTGGCCCTTCGGGCCTGGGGGCATTTCTTAGCAACTCTTCCCACACCCAGGATGAAGACACCCAGTGGCCATTTAAAGGATGGCCTTTTCATTTTCAGCATCAATAACTGCTTGATTTAAATTACAGAAGATCAACGTCAATTTCCACTGTGGAGGGGCCGCACAGCCATTGCGCTGGGTGTTTATTACACCCACACAAATTGCTCTAAGTGGCGCAGTGGGGTTTCTTAATCAGACATAGAAACAACCCCACAGGTATTGTGAGCTTCATGCTCAACTGGAGGGATGTGGGTTTGTCACCATCCTCAGACTTCTGGGCAGTGAGGGACTATTTGGGATGACTTTGTGAACAGAGTTTTGACCTTAAATTTTAGTGCAAAGCAGAGACAGGGGAGTGAGGGGAGAGAAAAAGCAAGTGTTCTCTTTCCTCGCTCCTCTCTTACACCTTCCTTCATCTTTTCTTACTAACACAGAGTCTAAATGCATGCCAGTCTCCCTTCGGAGTTCTACTTGCTGTTCAGAAACCACACACACCCACACTCACACTCACTCACACACACACGCACGCACACGCACGCACGCACGCACGTACGCTTTTGGGCATTGTTTTCCCCCAAAACACGTGCATTCTGATTTCACAGCCTTTGAAGGGTGAAGACACAAAACCTGAAATCAATTTTATGAATAAGTGGCTCTACTTTTCCCCTCTGAAAGTGACAGTAAGAAACAAAGGCATAGACAAGACAAGCCCAATTATCCTGGGGTTACTATTCATATAATAGCAAGCTCCAGCTGTTAATCAAAACGGTACTTGATTTCCCAAGCAAGGTTTTGATTACCAAATTGTTATATTAATACATTAAAATTGCAGAAGATACACAGTTTAACTGTGCGTGGACTGGTAGACGACGAAAGGTAATCGAGGGGTAAAAAGAAAAATCTCTACCACGTTGGCTTCAAACACAGGGCAAGAGTCGTCTAGACATGCAAACATCTGCCTTTCTGTTTCACATCCCTGTTAAACATACGGTGCATACTTACTTCGAATCTGTTTCACAATAGGTTTTAAGAGATCCAGCCACACCTAAAAGGGAAAAAAGAACAGATTGAGATACAAGTTCTCAATGTAAAAGTGCAAGTATTTTGAGACTTTATTTGAAGCTATTTAAAATCAAAATACTTTGGAGTTACACGGGGCTGTTTCCTTTTTCCCCAGAATGCCATCTCTTCCATTGTCTACCATTTTTATAGAACCAATCTGCATTTTGCTGATATTATCCCTGAGCTTGAAAATTAAAATCTCTCCTAGACTCAGATAAATAGTTAACAGTTAACTAAGAATTTTTCTACTTCCATTTGTACCTTTATCATATTTACCTATTTGGGAAATATTAATGAATGATCACATATCTGGCTACTAGCTGATGAAATATGCACACTCTGTATTGAAACAGAATATGTCATGCAGGAACAGCACATTTTTGAGGGGATATGGAAAAAGAATGAGTATTTATAGAACAGCACCTCTGTAACACACACTACCTATAAGCTATTGACTACTCCAAACAAGGCTGGAAGGATTCTTGTTACCCTGGAATGAAACATGAGACTTGCAGAAGTTAATAATTTGTCCTAGGTCTCTCAGCTAGAGAGTAGCAGAGCTAGGACTGGAATCAGGTCTGTCCAACTTCAAAGTCCAGACTCTTCATCACATGCCCACTCCTTGGCAAATAGGAGAGAAACCAGCTGCCCTTATTAATAAAGTGAAAGTTAACCATATTATCCCATTTCAAATGTTCTTTTCTTTAAACTCCCTTTGAACTTCTGGTCATTTAGAGAATTCTATGGAAGCTCATATTTGCATATGTGACAAAAACAAAATTGGTGTGCTTGATATAGAGGGTTTTACAAGTAAATAAGAAAAAAAGAATAGCCCCGTTTAGAAAACTATGCAAAGAACCACAGACAATTTACAAAGAAAAATTGCCAACGGCTAACAGGAAAATGTTGAAGTTCAGGAGTAATTTGCATTAGAAATGCAGATTAAAACAATACCATTCCACCCATTACATTTGCAATGAGGTAGGGCGGTATATACACTTGAGTGTTTGCATTTTATAATACCCCAACCTGGCCAGGGAGCTGGGAAGTGGGCACTGTCCTACTCTATTGATGGATGTATGAATTGCTACAACTTTTCTGCAGACTTATGAGGGAATGTCTAAAGCCTAGAAAGTATTACTCAGACATTCTACTTTTGTAAATTATGCATTTATGCATACGAAGATTTATGTACAAAGAATACTAATTGTACCATTTTTATAGTAGCAAAATCTTTTCATAATAACCTAAATAAAAGAGAGAAAGAAAATAACATACATCAATATGACACATTACCACGCAGGCATTAAAAATTATGTTCCTGATGAACATTTTAAAATGTGGGAAAATGTGTTTGGCAGGTTGGATGTTAGGTGATTTCTTCTTTTCTTTTTTGCCTTTCTATATTATCCAAATTATCTTAAACGAACACTTACAATTATCATAAGGAAGAACCTAAAAATTTTAAATTTCTCCTTATTTGGTTTAACTTTTCCCTATCACCTTTTTGAAATAAGATTCTATGATAAAATCCCCATGTGCAGTACATTCCCCACCCTCTCCTGCTCTCCTGCAAGAGAAGAAATTGACACTGATCACCCCTCTCCACTGTCATGGCCATTAGCTTTAATCTAAAATGGGAGAGAACCATCATTTGAAACAGTGAGTTTCATTTGTCAAATCTATTCCTTTCCTGCCAAGAACCCCAAAAGATACAAAAGCTTCAAAAGTATCTCCCCCTGATACTGATAAGAAAACTGAGATTCAGAGAAGAGCAGCCCGAAGTTGGAACTCAAACCCTGGGTTCTAGGAACACAATGACAAGAAAAACAGTCGGGGTTCCTGCTCCGTGGAGCTCACAGTCTAGCGAGGAAGACAGACAGGGGCTAATAAAACCTCCCAACCAGACACAAATGCAAGGAACGAGAGCCCCAGAGGGCCGGGAGCAGCTGGGATGGAGACGTCTGCCCCACTCGCGGCGTTCTGTGTTCTCTTACGTGGTGGTCAGCCAGGTGCAGCCACCAGAAGAGAGACGTGGAGAAACAAAGCGTATCACACTCACGGGTCCTAGAGACAGGCGAGGCGGCACAGCACACCACACAGGGCCACGCGGGGACGCACCAGGGTGTTCAGGAAGCAAGAGACAGGAGCCAGGGAGAGCCTGGGCCTTTACTGAGATTCCCCCGGGCAGGGCAGGGCAGGGCAGAGTTCGGGACTGGCTACTTGTTCTAAATGATTCCGGCTGGCCCTAAGCTATAGGGCTGGTCCTTAGTTGCTGTTCCCAGGCCCCAGGAGGACTCAGGCAGAGCAATACTGCGTCCAGGGGTGGACGGGCCAGAGAAAGGCGGCACAGCTTGGGACTGGTTAGCGTGTCTGAGAGGCGAGCTCCCGGCTAGCCCTGGGAGGGGCAGTCTCTCTCCAGCCAGGAAAGGCTTTTCATTAAATAAAATCTCAAAGCACCATAATATGCATAAAATGAAATTAAGGTATATATTTATACAATACACATGGGGGGAACAGAGGTAAGGGAAACCTCCCCTGACCACGCCACACAAAGACAGGCAGTCAAAACCCTTGTCTAGGTGCTCCAGGGAAAAGAGCTGTGGCTGCAGGGCCAGGTTGGGGGGGGGGGGTCGGGCAGGAAGGGCCCGACCCCACGGAGGCCTGGCAAAGATGTTTCTTCCTCCTCCTAAACGCAATGCAAGGATTTTCCACATGGGGCTGACTTGATTCCATCTGCATTTTAAAAGGATCAGTCTGGCAGTGTGAGAACAAGTTAGAAGGAGCAAGAATGGATGCAGGTTGATCTGTAGCCAATTGTCCAGGCAAGACAGGATGGTATTTTGGACCAAGAGGGGACAGACGTAGCGTTGGGGAAAGTGGGTGGATTCAAGAAACACTGAAGAGGCAAAAACCAGTGGAACTTCCTGGTGGACAGAGGAAAGAGACCGGCCAGGAGGACACTGAGGTTTTGCTGCCTTTGCCCTCCCCAGAGACGGGGAGCATGGGACGGGGGACGACCAGGCCTGGGAGGGTCTAGCTGTGCTGATTTCCTGGGCTGGCCCGGGATCGTGCAGAAGAGACAATCTGGAAACAGTGGGGTACAAGCATCTAGAACTCAGAGGAGATGTTCGGCAGGAGGTCTTGCATTAGAAGTGGCCACCACCCTGACTCCACGCAGGGGAAGCTGGCCTGCGCAGAGGCCGGAGAACAAGACGCTGGGGGGCACAGCAGGAGGGGAAGTGAGCAGAGAACTGTGGCACGGAAGCCACAGCATGACAATGCTTCCCCAGGGAGAAATATCGAGAGCTGCTGAAAGACCAAATAAGATGAGAGCTGGTGTACCTGCCGGGGGCCGGATTCGCGAGGGGTCTGAAGGTCACTGGGTGGGAAGAGGATGACCGGCCTGGCGTGAAGCAAGAGGCAACAGCGCAGAGGTAGGGGTTGAGAAACCCAATGAGGGCGTTGTTCACGTGGCTTGTCTTTAATCGGAACGACTGAGCGAGAGGGAATCTGCCATTGTCCTGAGACCTGCCATGATGTGAGGAGACAGCGCTGGGTCCCAGGGCACTGGCTCGGGGCAGAAAGAAGAACCACTCTCCCCAGCCAGACAGAGGGGACAGGCTGATGACAGCAGCGAGGAGGTTTACGTTTCTGTGTTGAGAAGATAAAAAGGTTCCTACGTGGCATCTCTATTTCCTTTGTAAAACCAGAGGGTGGAGGATTAAGCAGAGTGGTTTCGAAGCAGCTGTGCTGTGTGGGCGAGCGAGTGCACCGAGCGCCGGCCCGCCCGCCCGTGAGCCTGTGAGCCTGTCACCCTACGCGCTGTCAGCGCCCACGGCGGCCTCAGGGGACCGGTCACTGCCAGCGCGGCCACGGAACCCGCCTAAACTTCTGCAAATTACCCAGGACGAATCATCTACGCTTTGGCAATGTAGTTGCCAATTTCATGAATTGTTTTGAAACATCTCTCCTCTGTTTATGGCATTTCCGTGGAAAGCATCAAATACAAGCACCGACTTGAGCCAAGCGAGCATGTGGTTTCCTAACACGTGGGGCTGGGAACGCAAGATCGGCCCGAGTGAGCCTGGTGGGGCAGAGCTCTGCGGCGCCAACGCTGCACGGCGCAGATCACATCACAGCCAAACTAGCCTGGGAGAACCCATCCAGTCACCAGGCAGGTTGGCATCTGCAGAGCTGAGGACAAAGGTCTGGCCCGCGGAGGAGGGCTTAGAGCACTACAAATGAATGGGCTGGGAGCGGCAAGAAGAAACGAGGTTGCTGCTCCACTGGAGTTAAAGCCCCGTGGCTGGTGTGTAGGGAAGGCCACGGGGAAGCAATCCGAGCTGGACCAGGTCATCCTGGACTAGCCACTCGTGCATTCAACCCGAGCAGACAGAAATGAGTGCCAGGTGAGTTCAAAGGTCACAGACACACCATCATCTTACTCACCCGGCCAGTGGCTCTCTACAGGGTCACACTGGTAATGATCTCTTTATCCCCAAACCACACCCCCGTCCTCAGGGAAATCCACGCTCTGGTCTCCTGAGCACACCCACACATCCACGTGTGTGCATCTCCTGACCGGGAAGGAATTTGGTTAGAATGAATGGCCTTCTAGAGAAATCTCACTCCCAGTCGGTAGAACTCCAAGACGAACCTGCTCACTAGGTCCGGGAACGTCTCCTGCCGGGATGTGAAGGCCTTACTGCGTTAGTTTGCTCAGACTGCCATAACAAAGTACCACACACCGGGGGCCCAAACAGCAGAAATTTATTTCTCCAAAGCCTGGAGGCTCCAGGTGTCAGCAGGTGTAGTTTCTCCCAAGCCACTCTCTTGGCTTGTAGATGTCACCTCGCTGTGTCCTCATGTGGTGTTTCCTCTCCGTGCATATCTCTGGTGTCTGTGTGCCCAAGTGGCCTCGTCTTATTAGGACACCCATCAGGTTGTCCTCTAATGACCACCCTCTAATGACCTCATTTT